CTCCCCGGCGCCCCCCGGCTGCCGCCGCCCCTTCCCGCCCCTCCCGGGGAAGGGCTGAGGCCGCGCCTGGGCACACCGGGGTGCAGCTGCACGGGGAGAGGAGCCGAGCAGCGCAGCATTCCCTCAGCTACTCCGTGCCTTTCTCTGACAGCATCCTAATGCTGGAGCAGCGCTTTTAACTAGGAGAACCTGTACGGAGAATATAAAGACATGTTGCTTTTGCTATTGAAAAAAGTTTATTCTTTCTGCCGTTCGGGAATAATTGCATATGATTCACGTGCTTGGCACTCAGCGTGCAGGGTTTGTTTTGGGGTGGATTTCTTTCGGTTTTTCATTGCACTTAATAAAGTCAGAATTTAAATACTTTTAATTACTTTCCAAAGTTCACAGCGAAATGGTGTGGAGTGTGTAGGGGAACAGTGAAACCCTGCTTTGCCGGCGATGCTGTCTGGCCGACGTTGTCTGAATTGGGTTGCAGTCCCCGCAGCAGAAGAAGATGTGGTCATTTGAACGTCCCCGCCGCAGCTGGACGGTGCCAAGGCTGGCTGACGGCGTGCAGCCTCTTTTTTGTGTGTGTGCGCGTTTCTTTCATGTTTTCTTTCCTTTTACTTTCCAGCCTGTTCCTCTCCCCTCAGCCCTTCCTCTTTCACGTTCTACCCATTCCCTATCAGACTGCCTCTGGTTTCCCACCCCCTTTCCTCCTCCCCACACCCTTTTCCCCTTCTAGATGCTCCACGGTTTGCAGGAGCACCAAGCCAAGGCTCCTTCCAGCCTCAGACAGCGCAGGGCTCCTGTTGCCTCCTCAGAAGAGAGCAGGTGGAACAGGTTCAGTAACGTGATCATTCCTCACATGGAAGCAACAGTTCTGCCAGAAAAACTCGTAGACCCTTAAATCAGACTTTTGACAGGTCTCCTTGCAAGGCTTTTAAGTTAAGTTCCTTGATCTGTCACCATTAGCTGGAGAGAAGAAGTGTTTAAGAGTTTTTTGAGCTTGGTTAGGACAGCTCATCCCAGGGAGGAACGCAGGCTTAATCTCAGAAATTACCAAACTGCACGAAATCCAGCCGCCACAGGGTCCGGGGTCTTGTCTCTGGGAGTGACCAGCTCCAGGTCTTTTAACAGAAGGTATGGCCAAGTAAACACAGAGTAGTCTGGTCCTATAAAAGACTTAAAGATTTAGGAATTTTTTTGTTGGGTTGATGTTCCTTCTGAAATGCATTTTAGCATTAGCTGTGATCATCTGGGTAGT